CTGGGCATGCACTCCTAACCATGTTTCCATTCCCAGTTTTTGGTCACTCCAGGGGTTTTAGTAGCTGAGTCGTAATTTAATTTCAGTTTCTACAGGTCATGCCTGGACTGCGACACAAACAAAGAGTGGCTTTTAAAAATTCAAATGCTGGCTCTTGGCTTTCTTTGAAGATCTGTTAATCAAATCTTAGAAGAACCTCCTGCTTCAAGGGAGATAACACTGAGCCCTCTCAGTCCTGCACAAAACAACATTAGTGAAATGAAGCCCGAAAGGGAGTCTCTGTCTGTGCTCTATACATTTGGAAACCTCCAGATTGATTTGATTTATTATGGCCTGCAAAACTCTGGTGTCAGCTACAACTCTTGCCACATGTCATCTATGTTGTTATTAAAAATCAATTCTCCAGAGGGGAGAAAGTGCTTCCGAGTGACAGTGTGCAATCTGTTATTGTCATGTATTAGCTGTGTTCTCGGGAGAATTTAAAAGAGAAAACATCAGCAAAAAAATTTCCACATTTTCAGGATTGTTGTTGGTTGTTGTTTTTTAAAGTATATGCGATATTTCATCATCTTGAGCTGTGCTTGCCTCTGAAGGTAACTGGCCTCTTTCATGCGTGATTCAGTATTTTTTCAAATTCTTCTGCTTTCCTTATATTTATTCTGTTAACAACAAATAGAATATATGTATCTGAAAATCAGAATACCCGTGAATGGATAATTTAATTACATGTTTCGTGTCATTTCTCTCTCTCTCTCTCTGGCTGTGCTGCTCAGCTTCTCTGTCTCTCTCGCTCATGTTTTTTTTTTATCCTTCTTTCAGAACCCATCTTGCAAGTGCTTATGCACATGCACTATTTTAGGCGCATGAGCAGTCCCCATTGAAATGAATGGGACCACTCATGTTTACTGTTAAGCCCCAACATAAGTGTTTGCAGAATCCAGGCCCCAGTCATTAGCATGACTTTTGCAATAACGTGACGACCCAGTCATGAAATGAGTTACAAAATGTTCCACCAGCTTTTCAGAATTGCTGCCTAGAAGGATCATTGATATATAGTGAAATGTAAACTGTAGTTGGGTGCATGTACATATCGAAAAACATATACTGTGGGAAAGTTACATTCCCATAAATATAGCATACTGTGTGCTGGTAAAACTCCTACAGGTGCTCTTCCTCTGGACCACTTTGCTTTTCTATCCAGTTTATGCAGTATCGTTTAGTTGATTGGCAGCTGCACAAATTGAAATGTAAGTGTCCTGGTCATGGGTAGACAGATCTTTTAAAATTATTTAGTTTTCATTAATTTTTTTATATGAAAAGAACTAATGTGTGTGCATGTCTGGCAAAATATTCAAAGACTTGCTTGGGTCAAATGTAACCTAACACAACACAGGGTGCTTATGATCTCCAGTGACATCTGAGCACCTTCAACATGGATTGGTTGCTGTGGGAGCCGTTGCATCCAGACTGTATGGTGGGTGTTGAGCCCCTCAGGGGATCAGGCTTTTACAAGCTGAACTCAGCTTTCATTTAAATATTTACAAAATAAGGAGGCTTAAGACAACCCAGGAAATCAGTGTAAATACTCCATTCCCACTGCACCGTTGCCTGCAAATTAGGCATCCCCCATTTGTGGCATACAAAAAAATAATGGCAGAGATCAGAAATGTAACATAGTAGTGAGCTCATTATAATGGTAATTAGTTCAAGGGCATTATATTCACTTCTGGCTTTTGAGCACTTCATGAACAGGCCCAAACTTGCAGTCCCTATACCAATAACAATATTTCCTGTGTAAAGGCTGCCAGGTAACGCCCAATGAGTTGCTCGTTTTTAGTTTTGTTAATAAGTGTCCTCTGTCTGGAGATACTGTGTTGGACTGCTCCTCCTTCCAGCTGAGGTGGATTGCCTGGAGATTCAGCTCAAGTTGTCAGTGCCACAAGTTGTTCTTGATGGGTCAAACACTTAATAGGATGCTTCAGGGTCAGAGCAGTGAGAAAACAAGGTTTTTGGGGTACTGGTGCCCAAAGCAGCAGAGAATGCATGTCCAGGAAATCTACACCCCCATACATGGATGACTTCTCTGTTGCAAATCTCGGCAAGGTAACAAGGCTGGAACTAAAGCTGCTCCTTCTCCATGTACACCCTGAGGGAGATTTACTAGATCTGGTGTGTTCTCCCTACATTTCTGCTGTGATTACTTTTGAGAATCTCTGTATCTGAATATATGTGAAACGGTAGTGTGCCAGTAGATGAACATGTAGCATAGTCCATGGCTTGTGAAGGACCAATAAAGCCTAAAGCCCAAATTCTCACTGGTGCAGGGAGGTGCGTGTCATTCACTGATCAGTTTGGCCTCAGCTCCAATGTGTGTGCATTGGGAATGCCACTATATAAATCCATGATACGCCCACACTTTGAATACTGTGTGCAGTTCTGGATGCCCCATCTCAAAAAAGTTATATTAGAATTGGAAAAAATACAGAGAAGGGCAACAAAAATTATTAGGGATATGGAACAGTTTCCATATGAGGAGAGTTTTAAAAGACGGGGACTGTTCAGCTTAGAAAAGAGATGACTAAGGGTGGGATATGATAGAGGTCTATCAAATCATGAATGGTGTGGAGAAAATGAATAGCAAAGTGTTATTTACTCCTTCACATAACACAAGAACCAAGTGTCACCCAATGAAATTAATAGGCAGCAGGTTTAAAACAAACATAAGGAAGTATTTCTTCACACAACACACAGTCAACCAGTGAAACTCGTTGCCGGGGGATGTTGTGAAGGCCAAAAGTATAACTGGGTTCTAAAAAGAATTAGATAAGTTCATGGAGGATAGGTTCATCAATTGCTATTAATCAAGATGGTCAGGGATACTCCACATGTCATTAACGACTTAGATATTGATATTGGTATAGAAAGTACGATTATTAAGTTTGCGGATGATACCAAACTGGGAGGGATTGCAACTGCTTTGGAGGACAGGGTCATAATTCAAAATGATCTGGACAAATTGGAGAAATGGTCTGAGTTAAACAGGATGAAGTTTAACAAAGACAAATGCAAAGTGCTCCACTTAGGAAGAAAAAATCAGTTTCACACATACAGAATGGGAAGAGACTGTCTAGGAAGGAGTACGGCAGAAAGGGATCTAGGGGTTATAGTGGACCACAAGCTAAATATGAGTCAACAGTGTGATGCTGTTGCAAAAAAAGCAAACATGATTCTGGGATGTATTAACAGGTGTGTTGTGAGCAAGACACGAGAAGTCATTCTTCCGCTCTACTCTGCTCTGGTTAGGCCTCAGCTGGAGTATTGTGTCCAGTTCTGGGCACCGCATTTCAAGAAAGATGTGGAGAAATTGGAAAGGGTCCAGAGAAGAGCAACAAGAATGATTAAAGGTCTTGAGAACATGACCTATGAAGGAAGGCTGAAAGAATTGGGTTTGTTTAGTTTGGAAAAGAGAAGACTGAGAGGGGACATGATAGCAGTTTTCAGGTATCTAAAAGGGTGTCATACGGAGGAGGGAGAAAACTTGTTCACCTTAGCCTCTGAGGATAGAACAAGAAGCAATGGGCTTAAACTGCAGCAAGGGAGGTCTAGGTTGGACATTAGGAAAAAGTTCCTAACTGTCAGGGTGGTTAAACACTGGAATAAATTGCCTAGGGAGGTTGTGGAATCTCCATCTCTGGAGATATTTAAGAGTAGGTTAGATAAATGTCTATCAGGGATGGTCTAGACAGTATTTGGTCCTGCCATGCGGGCAGGGGACTGGACTCGATGACCTCTCGAGGTCCCTTCCAGTCCTAGAATCTATGAATCTATGAATCTATGTGCTGGATATCCCTAAACCTCTGACTGGCGGAAGCTGGGACTAGACGACGAGATGGATCACTCATTAAATTGTGCTGTTCTGTTCATTCCCTCTGAAGCATCTGGCACAGCCACTGTTAGAAGACAGGATACAGGACTAGGTGGACCATTGTTCTAACCCAGTATGACTGTTCTTACATTCCTTCCCATAGCCTGATGCACTCACTTTTTGGGCCACCTCTTTCAATTTGATTGTAAGCTCTTTGGTGCAAGAAGTGCTTTTTTGTTTATTTGTACGGCATTATGATCCCTCAATCCAGATTGTGGTGTTTGATTACTATTGCAATACAAACTGTATATATTGAGAGTAAGGATTTACCTTTATTGTAGCATCTTTCAAATAGTGTGTTCCACAAATTATCAGAAAAATTCTTCCAGACATCCATATAAATAGAAATAATACAGTTCTTGGAAGAGGTGGGGAATAAAATACCTTTTCAAATTGTCTAAGAAACATTTAGAACCCTTCTAGGAAAGACTGTGGTTATACTCTGTTGATACTAGGAAGGTGCTGATTTCCATGTCCAAAGTGGACAGGCTCTTCAAAGAACTGATTTCCAAGTATTTTGCCTGGATGTGCAAATGTGTCCCTCACTGAATATTGGTATGCTCTGCTGCTGATGTGGGAATGTGGGCCCTAATCCTGCAAATATATCTATACACGTGGACCCTCACTCCCTCCTGGAGTTCCACTGTAGTCAATGTTTAATTTCATCTTTCACATTCCCTCTTTTCCTTTGATTTCTTTGTATTTTCAGCTAATGGGACTCTGTGCAGCAGTAAGGGTGTCTGTAGCAGGGAGGAAAAGATGCTTTCCTATTTTTCTGTTTGAAAGAAAATATGCTTAAATTATATTGACTCATTTTTTTTAAAAAAAGAAGCAAGACACCTTTTACATTACAAATTAATTATTAACATTTTTAACTGCAGATAACATTATTTATAAAATTTTTGTGTAAAAGTACAAATAACAAAGCACTGACTCTGGTGGGTTATGAAGCTAGTAGGGTTTCTGCAGGGGGGACAGTTAAATATTGGTTCCAAAGCTAACTATTTGTTCAAATTTTGGGGTGGAGCATGACAATATAGTGTTCTAATGTCTTATTGTTCTTTCCCTGCTCTAGGACTCTTCATGGTAATGATATTTCCAGTGTTCCCGAAGGTTCTTTTAATGACCTTGTGTCCCTTTCACATCTGTAAGTACCAATGCTCTGAATTAATGTTTTTGACTGTGTTATTTTACTAACACAATGTTGGTTATGCTGCTAATCTAGTTTCTAAACTATTCTGAGTTGTGCCCATTTTCTCTCTGCATTTTACTGTCTTTATTCAGACATTGTCTGTTCAAATTAAATAAAATAAATGCTTGGACTGCTTGTTATTTATTCTCAAAAAAATTTCTTAGGAAAAACAATTGAAGGAATAATATGACGATTTCCTCTTTTATGGCATTTGTGCTAAGACTCAGTCATCTAGCACTTTGCATGTGAAATTTAGAGAGCATGATGGTCCAGAAGCCTGAGCATGAGACAGGAAGCCAGCCACCAAGAACATTAAGTAACTTATATGTGGATTCTGTGCATAATAAATATCTCATGATTTACATACTGTATTTTGTCAATATAGTATCTTGTACATGAACTAATAATTCACATACACCTCTACCCCGATATAACGCTGTCCTTGGGAGCCAAAAAATCTTACCACGTTATAGGTGAAACTGCGTTATATCGAACTTGCTTTGATCCGCTGGAGCATGCAGCCCCGCACCCCCTCCCCTGCCCCTCCCCGGAGCACTGCTTTACTGCGTTATATCCAAATTTGTGTTATATCGGATTGCGTTATATCGGGGTAGAGGTGTATACTAATAATGAAAGTGAACTTTTTGTATATTTCACTCCACACATGCATATAAAATATGTTCTAAAAATGACACACTATCCATACACATAAAATATATGTGCTCTTTCCAAGTGAGAAGAAAATCCAAATGTCTGTTTTAGTTTTTCCATCACTTTCTTCCTTCCTTAATGGCCTTGGACCAGTCACTTACCTAGAAATGGACCAAAATTGGTAAACTTTAATCAGTCATCTTTTACTTTTGATTTGTGAGGCTCCAGACTTACTCCTATGATTTGGTTTCAGGCCAGATCCAGAGTTCAGATACAGTTGTGACTTGGGTGTTCAAATAGCTTGCAAAAACAGATTTCTTGAAATGTCCATTACTCAGGATGGGAGGTAGCATGGTCCAATGAATAAGGCATCAGACTGGTATATCCTGGCAGTCAGGAGACCTGGGGAATATTTAAAATACATATTCACATATTCAGAAACATTTTGCAAATTTGTTTTGTTTCAAAATTTCCTTCAATTTTATTTTATTTTTTAATTAAGTTCCAACTTGAAATGATGTTTTGTTGGACCTGAAACAACAACAAAAAAATTGACTTTTTTTTCCAGAACTACCAATGAACCAAAACATTCATTGTTTTCTCATTCTAGACCTGGATTCTAGTCCCAGCTTTCAGGTTTCTGTGGGAGAAGTCACTTAACATTGTTATGCTTCAGTTTCCCCTTACAAAATAAGGGATAGTGATAACTACTAAATGTTACTATTTGGGACAAAATCTTGTGTGAACAATTCAAGGGATTTCAACACAATTTTACATTAATTTGAACCTGCGCTTTAACCCTAATTCAGCTTCAAATCAAAACCTCAAACTTTAGCCTGTACCTAAGATAGATAAAATGTTTAATTACAAATATCTGTTATACATAAAATGTATTCTATGCTGTGTTCATAGTATAGTAAATTCATTTTAGGCATTGTCTGGGGATGAATTCAGGGTCATTGTACCAAATTCCTTTGTCTCTACTTGGAAATCCAATGACACCTTCCAAACAGGGGAAGCTGGCGTCTAAGGGTATTTTTAGAACTGAAATGATAAACATGTCATGTGCCATTTGTTTGGGTTTTCTTCAGAGTTTACATTAAACTAAGTGCAGGCACAGCTTTCCTAGGTAAACTGTTCACCCTAGAGAGTCATAAAATCCCCTTTGGCCCAGCACAGTCAATGTACCTCCTCCGTTTATAAGTATGTGCTGCTGACAATGTAAAGTACACAACGCTCAAATGAATGGTAATAAGTAGGATCCATAAAATAATCAAGACCTGTCTAGAGTATAATTTGCTCAGTGGACAATTAAATTCTACCGTGCAATTGCTCTTGGCTGTTTCTTTAAAGAAACGTTTGCCTTCTGTAACTCTAGGAGGGCCAGTGTCTTTGACACAATTGAAGAAGTTGAGTTCACCAATAAAGCTGTAAGCAATTTAAAATAATGTATTTTATGAACACTGACATAGATCTCTCTGGGATTCACATATCTCTGAGAGAGTCTGTAGCTGTGGCATTTTCAAACAAATGGAACAAAAAAGTGCCATGCATCAATTGCATACATCTTGTGAGTGAATAAAATTTTATGTGTGAGAGACACTTTGCCTGCCTGCAGTGTGAATCCATAGTAAATAATGGAACTTATAATGCATTTGGTATTCCTAGGGTAGGAGGAGATGCTGAGTGTTAAGATGTTGAACAGGTTTAGCCTAGCCAGAACGGTTAGTGTGGTCACACAGCATTGTTACAAGTTATGATGGCTCAAATGGACCATTGTAAATTGCAAAGGTACAGTTCTCTAGTGTACACAAAATGTTTCACTTTTTTGGTCAAAGCCTTTTGCAACAGCTGCAGCAGTAAATTGGAAATTTAAAAACTCAGATCTAGCCTACTCTAATCTACTTTCCAAAGCTGCTCAAAACACAAGGAAAGATTTTCACCAAAATTGCTTTGCAAACGTAACATTCTTTTAAGGTAGCTTTTTGAAAGGGGTGTGTGTGTGTGTGTGTGTTTAGCTCCATCGAGACAGGATGGTTTATCTATGGAATACACACATACTCTTTTAGTACAGAATCTGTGCCAGTATACTGTAACAATCCTGAATATTCTCCAACTGAGGCTGTGTCTTCACAAGCAAACTTAGTGTTTTTTTGACACCATGATAAAAATGTCTGAGCTTTGTCTACACTAATTCCTATATTAGTGCTTTAAAAAAGGCTCTAAATTTGCTAGGATAGAAACAGCCTTAAAGTTGACAAAGCAAGCTTGAGATCTCCCATGCATTCATTCAGTGCCTGGGCATGCAACCCACATCCAAAACTACCTGATGTAGTGGACTACCAGGTACCACTCCCTGGTGAGGGCTTGACCCAGATAGTTTATCAAAAGCATGGTAAAGAACACATTATTAAAAATATGTCTGAGAGACATATATTCTGTACATAAACAGCTCAGATTCATGTCCCTGTTGATTCGTCTCTTGTTTACTCAAGCTCATGTTAGATACTTATAAAAATAAACTATGCCCTCTATCTCTAGTTCATCTCGTCTATAGTTATTTTAATTGCCCTTCAATGAGAAATATGTAAGTCTGAGAGAAAAAAAATCTGCCCTTCATTGCAAAGACCCTTAGTGTTTCATAACAGTATGAGATGATTAACCACCAGGAATTGTTTTGCTGTATTGACCAAAGAAATAAAAGGAGAAGTGAGTGGAAACAAGCATGCTGTGGTACATAAAAATTAGTGGAAAGTAAAAAATACACTGCTTAATTTATACAGCTCATGGAACAAAATTATTCCTAGCATTTATATAGCAGCTTCATCTTCAAGCTGCATTAGAGAGATTGATTAACCTGTATGTTTCAATGTTCGTTTTGTGATTTCCCTCTCACCTTGTGTGTGTTGAGGTTTGTCCAGTGCTAAATGTTTAACTGTAATTTCTAGATGAACTTCGAAATGTAGGGTTTTGTTTAGCCTTGCACAAGTGGGCCAGCTCATTGCAGATGGGGTCAAAAGGTCATCCCTGGAGTTTTTCCATTGTAAGCAATGGGCGCTACAAAAGGGGCTGGATTTGGGGGTTTTCAGGCATTGCTGCTGTACACATTTAATTTTGATGAATGAGCCCTGGCTAGGATTGAACCCATGAACTCTACAGTTGAGTCTGTTTAGGGCTGTTTCATTAGTCACTCCCATAGAAATGTATCAACAAATTTAGTGGGGTTTCCTTTCTTAATATCCTGTCTGAACGTTTTTATCCAAAAGAAACTTGAGTTCAAAACATTATTTTAAAAAATGATTTGTAGTCTGATTCATGGGGTAAAGCTAAAATTCATAAAGCAATTTACATCATTCCTGTAATAATTCCTTCCAAGTCAAAATCTCTGTAGATTTTTGATGCCTTTAAATGCTCAGATCAGTTTACAGTGTTTTAGACGCGTGACTGCCTATTAAAGTAAGAGAGTTGCATGGCTAAAACCCTTCATTGCTTTCAAAAAAGTAACTCCATAGACTTCACATATCTAATGTGCGTTTCTTCAAAGCTGATTTTTTTAAACTGCCTTTGGTCAAGCGCTCACGTTTTGGACGGGATTTCCAGGAGATTAAGAGAGTTGGACAAACAATTCCCACTAAACGTCAATGGGAGTTGAGCACCTATCACTGTTCGGCTTCTTTGAAAACCCCAGTCTTTACGGGATTTTGTTTTTTCTTTCCTCCTGCTCCTAATTGTGAGGTACATGGGCTCCATGGCCTGGCTTGATGTCATTGCATCTGTTCATGTGGGTCTTACCTCCAACATCAATGCATTTTTTTTTGTTTGTGCTGCAGCCTCATTGAAATGGAAAAACAGGTTGCATTTATTTCACACTTCACACAGTGGTATTTTGGACGGGACTCCCAGCAACTCACAGGAGAGCCTCTTGTTAAAACTCTGCTAGCAAACTGAAGGATGAGTTGGGGTGATTTCCCTTACCCACGAAAGCTTATGCCCAAATAAATTTGTTAGTCTTTAAGGTGCCACTGGACTCCTCGTTGTTTTTGCCTCTGAGTTATCCCTAAATCATCCCGGCCAGAGATGACTTATCCCTAGCCTCTTTCTAAAGAAACAGTTTTTTGCCTTTGGTTTGGATCAGATTGTCCTAAACAACTAGTATTTAAAAAAAATATCTGAGTGGAGTATACCCTCCCATAGTGGTTCTCAACCAGGGGTATGTGTACCTCTGGCGGGTGTGCAGAGGTCTCAGAGGGTACATCGGCTCATCTAGATATTTGCCTAGTTTTACAACAGGCTACATAAAAAGCACTAGTGAAGTCAGTACAAACTAAAATTTAATACAAAGGCTTGTTTATGCTGATATATATATATATATATATAATGTGTGTGTGTATATATGTGTGTGTGTTTGTTTGTATATATACATATATACACACACACTATACACAGAAATGTAAGAACAATGTTTATATTCCAATTGATTTATTTTATAATTTGGTTATATGGTAAAAATGAGAAAGTCAGCAGTTTTCAGTAATAGTGTGTTGTGACACTTTTTTATTTTTAGGTCTGGTTTTGTAAGCGAGTAGTTTTTACGCGAGGTGAAATTTAGGGTACACAAAACAAATCAGACTCCTGAAAAGGGTACAGTAGTCTGGAAAGGTTAAGAGCCACTGGTTTAGCTTAGCACAAGACCTGAACCACTCTACAATTTACCCAAGCTGAACACACTATTATTCTAGGTTGTTGGTTTGGTTTATCTTCTTGTTTTTTTCCAGGAGCAAAATGTACATATGTCCAGCAAAGTGCAACTTAATATAAATTTGTTTCCCTGGAAGTGCTGCCTCCTTCCTTGGTTATGAGAAAACAGTTCTGATTAAATGGGAAAACAAACCAATAGATTCTCCCATCTTGTGGTTGCAAATACATGCATCTCTACTACATGGGATTTATCCCAGGCCAAGGGGAAATATATTTGGTTGAGCTCCTTGTTTTAAAAAAATTACAAATCTGAGACACAGAAGTTAAGTGACTTGCCCACGGTTACACAATGAATCAGTGAGAGAGTTGGAAACAGAACCCTGGTCTCCAAACTCCAACAATGATGTTTAAATAGAGTTGGCAGCAATCCATAAATAACTGTAACACTCTCAAATATAGCAGCCTCTGAGGCACAGTGGGTTAGTTCACTAACCATCCAAGTCTGGGAACTTTTATTAAAGTGTGACTTGGATTACAGCCTTAAAGTAGGTTTGAGTGTCTCAAGCTAGTCCCAGTTTTCTCATGTGTGCTGTTCGCATCACCGGACTACCACACACAAACTTAATTGGAACTGTTTGCTGGCTGGAATGAAAGCAATGTCATGTTTCAAAAAACAAGTGCAATTCCAGAGTTTTGTGAAACCCTCATTAATGCATGGTCTATGAGGGCTATCCAGTCCCTCTTTTTAAAAAAAGAAAAAGCAATAAATTCACTATATATATTTTTATTAAAAATTAAGCCAAAGAAGAACAGACATCCTTTTAGAAAATGTTCAGGAGAATGGTTCTCTCTCTCATGTGGAGATGCTATTCCTTCTTTCAGCTTGTTGCCTGAATATCTCTAATTCAAATCTTATAGATTTTTATGTAAAAAGTTACTTTTAGCAGATTTAGATCATATTTCACTTTCATTATTGAACAGGAAATCTGCTACTTATTTTTGATGCATTTTCATAGTAGTTTGAAAAATAGAAATGCAACAACTCACATGCCTGATATTACCCATCTCTATAATTTTAAAAATACAAATCAAAACTTGGTTAAAAAAGAGAAAGAGAGAGAGGCCTTTCATTAATACATTTTACAACTTTAGACCCCAATTCAGGAAATAGCCCTTTCCAGGAAGAGTTCTCAAGTTTGTGCTTAAGTCCAATTCAAATTCTTTGTTTTGATCAGACAGCTCACATGGTTTTCTTGCGGTCCCTGATTGGCTCAGCACCATAAGCATTTCCCCAAGAATACTTAGATGTTCAAAATTAAAACTTGGTTTCTACAAAAATTTGTGCATGTGACTTTGAAAGTCACCTCCTGCTAACTTTTGCCAGTAAAACTTAATCCCTTGAGTGTTTGCGTTAAGCAAACAAAAATGGGCATGAGCATGACTAAAGCAGATGCATTTAAAAATGGAAATAATAATTTACAGAACCATTACATTATTTGCTGATATCCATCAATAATTCACTCACTTACCCTATCATGAACTGTTGTCCTGGTTTATTTAGATGAAGGTTTCTGAGGTAGAAAATGTGTCTTCACAATTAACCTGCAACTGCAAACTCTTATTCATGAGTGTAGTGCCACTGCCTGCAATGGGGTTACTTCTATAAAAAAAAAGTGTCTTAGAAATGATAACTAAGCAAGACAGCTCAAAGTGGAATATTATCTTTCAGACCATAGAGTTTAAACAAACAACACCTGAATTTTGTCAGGTTAAAATAATAAATTTAGAGAAACAGTGTGTGTATATATCGCTCAAGTGGAAATGGGCTAAATTTCTTGAATAAATGATCAGTAGTAAGTTATTCAACTCTGCTGAGTAATGATGAGAAGAAGGGTATGAGAAGGGATTGTTGGAAGAGGTTAGCCTTAAGGAAGGAGCCAGGGAGAGACCGTTCAGTCAGAGAGGCACGGGGTCAGTGTTCTAGGGATAGCAGAAGATAGAAGGCCTGAGACTGAGACTTGGGTTTTGTCTACACTGGAAACTGAATGACAAAACTTTTGTTGTTCAGGGGTGTGAAAAAAACACACACACCCCGAACGACAAAAGTTTTGCTGACGAAAAGCGCTGGTGTGAACAGCGCTTTGCCTGCCAACAAAGCTACCGCCGCATTGGGAGTGGACGTTTTTAGTCGGCGGGAGAGCTTTCTTCTGCCAAGAAACAGTGGCTACACTACACGCCTTTTAGCGACACGGCTGTAGCGGCACAGCCATGTCGCTAAAAGGTGCATAGTGTAGTCAAAGTCTTAGAATGAACACAAATGGAGCCGTGAGGTGAGAATGAAAATCTGATGGCCCACTTTATGCTGAATTCTAATCTACCATTATGACTTTTGCTCAAATACATCTTCAAAGGGCTGTTTGGAGACACCAGATGTTGAAATTGTGTTAAATATTGAAGGATTTTCTTTCCAGCTCTTTAGAATCAAGGTTTCCAGTTCTTTGGAGTTAATGTGGAGACATGGGTAAAATGTGCCATTTGGGAGGGGGCGCTATTTTTGCTTTCAAGCAAAGGAAAAAGTTCATTGTTTTACATCACCAGGGCTCTGGGTACCAACCCCTTGAACTGTGACTGCAGTCTGCGCTGGCTTTCGGAATGGGTGAAGGCAGGGTACAAAGAGCCAGGGATTGCACGCTGCAGTGGGCCAGAGGACATGGCAGACAGACTGCTTCTCACAACACCAACCCATCGCTTCCAGTGCAAAGGTAGGAGCAAGCTGTTTGGCTGAGGTCTGTAAACCATTTGAGTGCCATTGCTTATCTTGTGTAAACAGCTTTATTGGTAGAATATTGCCAACCCCCAGCTTCAAGAATCATGAGATATTAAAACGAATTTAAGACTCTCTTTTTTTGTGCCTTGTGGTTTCTGAGCTATTGGAGCCCACTTGGGATATGTTTTCAAGCTTTTCTCCACTAACAGAAGGATTACAAATTTCATTGTTTACAGTGAAAGCTGATATTCTCATGCAATCACTTAATTCCGGCAGTTGGGGCTTTAAGGGAAACACCAAATCTCACATGAGTTAGCAACACTGTCATTACATCAGATAATAATAATTGCAAATTACTGTATGGAATGTCATTTTAGGGATAATTAATCAAATAATTCATTTCGAGACCCCAAAAAACTTGGGTAAGAGAAGGTTTATTCAGTAAGTAATTCTACATTTTGAAAAAAATGAGAATGCTATAGTTATAAAAATAAGTTTGAAAGCAGTGGGAAAGAAGTTGCAGGTGGAAAGCAAATATGTGGTGATAAGGACATTTGTACCTGAAGATCCACAAACAACTTTAACTCCAACCTAAGTCCTATCAACTCTAGATCAGTAACTGGATGTATTCGATGTATTTTATGTTGTAAGATCAGGAGAGGGTGCAGGTATATGACTGGAATGATGGAATATAAGAGCTATATGAGGAGAAACTGATTGAGGAGTTATAGTGAGGTATATAATATGGAGGTAGAATGATAATGTGTCGGCTTTCTGACAATGAAATTGTGGACAAATAAAGAGGATATGTTTGTGGTTTTTGCTGTCAAGGACTGTTGGAATGTGAAATGTTTGTTTGGGTTGCTAGTCTATATGTGAAAACAGAAGTGTGAAGATGTGTATTTACTATTTACAGTAATGGAGAAGAGGGTCTGTGGTTGGAAATGAAGGGGAATTGACATCATCTTGTTATTTATCTATGAAGTGCCATGTACATTTATATTTAATAATAAATTATAATAATGGCACTGGCTTAGCGGGATGGTTGTATAGCAGCTGGGATTAAACTGATTGCTGAATAGAGGATGGGTGTTGACATAGGGCTAAAGTTAAGGTTGTTTCCCAAACCGGAGCTAACTTTAATGATCTTCCATCTTCATTTTTAATAACTAGAACATTCAAATTCAGCTATTTTAAAAGTGACGATAGCTTTCGGACAGCAGATCATAATCAGAGCTCTCTGCTCTTTGGTGAGTTTATAATTTCACTGCTGAGAGTTACAAATATTCCTAACTAAACACCCAACAATGTGCTAACTTTCAGTGAGGAAAAATGAAGAAAACAAATGTGGCATTTGTAGATTAAGCTATTTTTGAAATATGATGCAGCAAAAAAAGTAGCTAACTTTTTATTTTTGAAACTCTCATATTTTGAAATGGCTTTGCCTGATTCTCCTCAAAGCATTCTCCTGCGGTTACCCACCACATGAGCCGAGCAGCAGTCTGTGGACAAATAGAGCAGCTTCGAATGGGGAGAGTTTCCGGATTCCTCCCACTGTCTTCCTCCCCCCTCACTCAAAACAAATGTACAAGACTTGTCAACTTAACAAGAGCAATTTGTCACACCCCCCCCCCGTATGCACACTTACACCCCGATCTTGCAATTGAGTATGTGAACTCTGTCCTTCACCTGTGCAGAGCCCCAGTGAAGTCAGTGGAGCTCCACCATCAATTGCAATTAAATCCTAATAAAAACAATCTCTTCATTCCAGCCCACTACCTTCCCCTCATTATTGCCATAGTCCTGTCAGTCACAGTACAAGGCTGACGAGTGACTCACAGGGCTTTCTAAATTAACATGTATTTTGTCAAAATTGTGGTTTAACCCAATGTTTGGACTAAAAGCCAAATGTCCACGCCTTGTCTCAGTGCAAACAGGACCGGACTTGAGGCACAAGTAGTGCAGACTCAGCTCTGTGTTTTATTAAATTGTCCTCCTTGTCTGCAGCACTATTAGAAAGGACTGCACTAGACTGAGAAGACTTTTGCTACATGGTTTATAAATCAAACCCCCAAGGGCAAAGAAATAGACTACTTAAGTGCTGGAGCTCTGATTAGCTCCTTCATTGATCGGCTTTGATCAATGCCATAGGGAGAGATGGACTGTGTTCTACTGTGTGTTTGTCTGTGTGTGTGTGTGTGTGTACATATATATCTATATATAGTGTATAGTATAATCCAAGCTGGTATCATTGCCTCCTGGGCCACCTTGTTTTCCTCAAATAGCTACTCTCGTGCACTTTTGGGAGAAGCAGCAGAAGAGCAACACATAAAGGAGGAAAAAGCCCACAGGCATAACTACAGCCATTCAGACTAATCTCTTCTGTTGAAGTCAGGCAAGCTGTTGTATCTAACTAGAGTTTACGGCAAATAGGAAAAAAGTGAAAATAAAGCAGGACAGGAATGGATGAAATATAAAACACACAAACGCAGAAAAGGAGAAGAAAAGTCTTCTTTTGGATGTATTCGTTTCTTTTTGAGCCCTTTTCCTGGGTAATGTATTGTTTAGGGCCAGGTTCAATACCCTTATTCGGACTGAAGAGCACCTAACTTTACTAGTAGTTTATTAACTTCAATGACACTACTTGCAGTGTAAGCAAGTGAGTAAGGGCATCAGAATCTGCCTCTTAGATTGAGGGCTCTTTGCGGCAAAGTCCTTGTCAATGTACATATCTGTTAATCCCTTTTCTCTCTGTTGGTGCTATGTAAATAATAAATATTAATAATGATTTGATAGGTCAATAGCTCAATAGCTAGGGTTTGCTAGGTCAGAAGAAAACCCTACCATGGATTTTTATATTACTGGACAGTGAATTACTGAATTACTGGACAGTTTCTTAAGATGTAAGTCCACAAAATCAGTTTTCTTCTGTCTTGCTCATCGCTTATTTCTTCTCTTTAGTTGTAACACATTTGTCATATGCAGATCTGCCACAAGGAAGGTGTTTGTCACTATTTTATGATGGAATGCTAATACAATCAGTAATAGCAAAGAATTCCTATTTCCTGGGCATTGCTTTTTCACCTGGTTGCTAATTTTGCACTGCCCAAAAGGGGCCATTAGTGAAAGGGTCTGTTAGTATTTCAAACATGAAGCATGTTTTTCACTCAGACATAACTCAGAGATGAAAATTCACCATGGACTGAATGATCTCAGCCAATGAACAACAGATTTTACCAACTTTTCATGAAATCCTTTTCAACCCACCTCACCCATCTGTCATGTGCTTGGTCTGTCCTAAGTTATTTAAAATTTATTACTTATCGTCGGTACTTTTGTGGAGTCCTTGCACTTAAAAGAAATATTTTCATATAAAGGAAATAAAGTGCTTTAAGACCTTCACTGCTTGAAATAAATTAGTCTCTTTTGACCATTTTTACATTTTAAAACCATTTGAGTCATTAATATTTGAAAGTTAGTGACCACAAAGTCAGTTTTATTTTCACATTTCCAAATTTGCCTATCTTTATTAACATCTCAACAGATCTGTAATACTGATTGATTTAGTACCCAACTCCATGCTAGAGGTGGACACAACAGACAGTAACTACTCCGATGGAGTGTCTTTGACAATTTGAGTGCTTTGCCCTGCAGACGACCTATTCAGGTCCAGTAAATAAATACTTGTTTTTAAATTTGGGTAATTCTGTGTTTACACAGGAAGCCATAAGTTCTCTTTGGTGTAGATGCCTGAGTGTGTGGCATCTAGCGTCTGTGTTTGTTTCAAGTATTCGTGTGTTTCTATTTTTGTTTACATTTTTCATAGGCCTTTCTCAGTGCCTTAGGGAGTTGAAACAGGGATTTTGCATGCTGAAAAGTAATGGAATGAAAACAACGTACTGTCTTTCTCTCATGTCCAAGTGTCGTGTTTCTTGTGTACAAAGCAGTACATTTAAGAAAGATTGACAAGACCATTTTGATTCTTAAATCCATATATTTTCAATATGCTCAATATGAAGCTTTATTGCCACCCCCATTTCCCTACACTTGCCTGCCTCCCTTACCCTTGCAATAAACCTCCACTACCCAGTCGTTTGCTCTTCTGCCTCAGCATCGATACTCCCTTTCCCCACATAGGCAGTTCCCTCCCTCCGCAAACAGGAGCTAGTTACTGCAGTTAGGATCTGCAAGGAGCAAGCAAGCCAGACAATACAGGCAGATGACTGTGCAGAGTACAGGGGAATCACAGAGGACTGCAGTGGTAGCTGGAGGCTGGTATTCATTGTGGGATAAAATGATTTTCATCTGGCTCTGGGCTTTCAGCTTGAGTCTCCAAATTCCACTATTATGGACTGTGTTCAGGTTCCTGCTGACCCACAAACACTCTGTCACATTCTGGGGTGCAATCCAGACCAATGAGGGTTGTGTCATCGCCTGCCTTGCAACCTTCGGTGCCTCACAATGCTTTGGTGTTGTATAGGGTTACCATACGTCCGGTTTTTCCCGGACATGTCCGGCTTTTCGGCAATCAAACCCCCGTTCGGGGGGAATTGCCGAAAAGCCAAACATGTCAGGGAAAATGCCGGCCGGGCACTTCCTCTCCCGCGGCTGCTCTGCTCCGCTCCTCCCCTCTCAGACTTTAAGAGCC